GACAATTTTATGAAATAGGTAAATCAGGTATACTTCAACAATTTCTGCTGGGATATTATACAACAAAGTTTGGGTGATAGGGTTATGTTAGTAAGACCTTGGACTCCTACAGTCTAGAGTTGTTTATTACTACCCTGAATAACTGATCTAATATATATGATGGGATATTATACAACAAAGTTTGGGTGATAAGGTTATGTTAGTAAGGCCTTGGACTCCTACAGTCTAGAGTTGTTTATTACTACCCTGAATAACTGATCTAATATATATGATGGGATATTATACAACAAAGTTTGGGTGATAAGGTTATGTTAGTAAGGCCTTGGACTCCTACAGTCTAGAGTTGTTTATTACTACCCTGAATAACTGATCTAATATATATGAAAGCCATTTGTCAATTTGTATGTATGTAACACTCATATTACGAGTCATTTTTGAGTTGCACCATTCTTATTGACCTTTTGAGTGTACTTAAAAAATTTTATTTTCTCAATGTATTTCTTTTATGTTGGAGGAAGTTTGGTGAACAAAGCTTGCTTAAGAAAGGATGGGAACCAACATGTGCAATTTCTAGTTAAGCGTACTGAATAACAACCAAACCAAAATGTTCAACTTCTAGTTAATCTTTGTACATCTTTCCAACATATAATTACCTCTGTAACATCCTCTGCTGATCTAAAGCCATATTTGCTGTGGTGAATAGTGAAAGCATCAGGTGACAACATATGTAAGGCTAACATTAAGTGATTTCCTGCATCTTGGACCTAAAACAAGACATATTCTGAATAATATCCTTTAAAAAAAAACAAAAAAACTCATTGGATTTATACAAATGGAGGAATCAAAACTATATCAGTTAAAAAAAATCTCCTTAATCAAAATACTTCTATAAACCAATTTATCTATTTTTGTAAATAAATTAAACTGTAAATTTTTAAATGCCTCTAGGAAAATGATTTAACATTAAAAATCAACTTTATTTTCTTGTAATGCAAATGGATACAAATTTAGTATAGATCACTTGGTCAATCTAATCGTCATTACAGCATACTTACATAAAAAAGTAAGTAACATTACAAAATTTTACTTCATTTGTATCTTTCTTTGCCCTACGAGTTGATCACTGAGAGCCTTCTTGATTCCCAATTTTGTTACATTTGAAGCAATTTTCTTTGTGTACATCAGCACAAACATACACTTTGATTCACTGAAAATCATAGCTGACACACAGCAAAAACTAATAAAAGAAATATTATATCTTTGCACAGACAGTTACATCACAAAGTTTCCAACATTAATACTGTTTTAGGAAATTGGAAAAATAGTTACAGTTCATAGTATACAAAAATTCTATCTTCAAGTGAGTAAAAAGAAAATTTTTATGAATACCTGGAGCAACAAGTTGTTGAAACTAGCAAGAAATTCAGAATTACAGTATAGGGACATAATACCCGAGAACAATGCACATTAAATAGAGTAGAATAATACAAGCAACTTGATAAGTACCATCAAGATAGTACACACAACAGAAGTGTTTGAGTGAGACTAAAACAGGATAGTTTTTGGAAAAAAAAAAGGAATTGGAACTATGTTAAAATCAAAACAAGATGAAATGAAAAGAAAATGGAAAAACAAGTCTTGATAAAAAAACAAAATAATAACAAATACACATAAAAGACAAGTCCACTACGATGTATGGAAGACATAAAACTATCAGTCTGAATTCTCTGGTTATTGTGAAGAATTTGGAAAAGAAGATCTGTTCAAAGAAGAAGTGATCTTACTGTCCCCAAATTAACCCCTATGTTCAAAGCAGGGACAGTAAGATCACTTCAAATTAACCCCTATGTTCACAAGCGGGGACAGTAAGATCACTTCAAATTAACCCCTATGTTCACAAGCAGGGACAGTAAGATCACTTCAAATTAACCCCTATGTTCACAAGCGGGGATCAAAGTGCAAATATCACGACCTTTAACAGAGTGGCATTCGACACTGTATTAAGTATTTGATATCAGTTATAAACTATTAATTTTCCCTACATTGCTGATTTAGCAACAACTCGTGGCAGAGGAAAGTAAATACTAACAATATACAAGCATGCTGAAAAAAAAATGTATACACACATTTTGGAGAGGGTTATGCGATGCAATAACCAAACTGCATGATGGACAAAAGTATTTTTTATTCTTCACATTGCACTTCAACTCGTCAGAATCTGAGTCATTTTGATGTCAGCAATTCACAGACATATTTTGAATATGAATACTTTTGTAAGACATGTGATTTTTTGTGTACAACAGACCTGTACATTTTACTAAAAGATTCCCACGTTCTGAGTAGATACATGTAGTAAATTCAAAATTACAGTCACCATTCAGTTAAAATTAAAAAACAGATCTAAACATAAAATAAAAAATAAAAGAGCAAAAACTGTAGAAATTAGACGTGATAGTGCAGAGCCAAAAAAAAGTGAAATAGATAAATAGGTTAATAAAAAATCCAATTAAGTGTATAAAGATTAGAAAAATATAATCAAAACCATAAAACAGAAGAAGATAAACTTTCTGACAGAGGATGAGAAACTCAACAGAAAAATTAGAAGAACAGAAGTAGAAGAAACACATTTTGGAGAGAAGATAGGAATAGTAAGCTACACAGAGTTGAAATTAAATGAGGAATACTTTTGTATGAAATATATATAGAACTTCTGTGAAAATCTAAGGAGAGAGGAAATAGTGAGACTTCATAAGTTAACAGTGGGAGGGCAAGAATTGGAAAAGGATGAAAACAAAACAGAGAAGGAACTCATCAAAATATGGAGGAAGGAGAAGAAAGGAATTAAAAAAAAAGGAAACAAAAAGCAGCAAAGCAATAAAAAACAGAAAAAATAAAGGACAAAAAATATTGTTGTTAGTCTATGTGCTGAAAATATAAAATGAAATGCATAAACTACATAATGAACTATTCTATCTGGATAAATGCATTTTCGCTTTTGACTCCTTTTATTTTGATAAATCAAGTGTGACCTGACGTAAAACACACTATCTTTTATATAGGTTAGATAACATGACATATAGACCTCTATAAGTATCTATAATAATTTTATTATCATTGTACCTTTGCAAATTTTTATGTTTCTGGGAAATAAAAATGCTTAAAATATTTTTGACTATTCTTCTATGTAAATAGGTCCAGAATACACACACTGACATAATCATCTAGAATATATCAACCTAATAACCTGAACGAAGCAGGGTACTTTCACTAGTATGCTATAGAGAGAGAGAGAGAGCCGAAAATGAACAGAGAAAATTATATGTATGTTATGTAGTTCTCAAAGCTGCATTCAATCCAATATCAAGATAAGACAGCATAAAATTTTGGACCACAAAAGAAATGTGACATGACTGCCCATTAAGCCAAATGTCACTTAATTTATTTATAGTTTCTAAGAACATTCTTTTCATTCCTCATACTGGTTATGCATCTTTGGAAGCAAGCTACAGAAATATTCTTCTACCAGGAGATATCAAATAAGAATATTGAAGTTTAGCGAGTATGGTAAGCTGGCCTGTGTCAGCAAACTATACAGATAATGTATTCAATAAAAGAAGGATTGTATTCAAGTAAAACACAAAAATAGAAAAACTTCTTATTTATTGAAAATAAACTATACCAACCCAATTAAATTGATTTCAACTACAAATACTTGTTGGCAAAATATCACATCAAGATACTTGACAAAGGTAAAGTGATGCATTTTGAAAGACGAGTTCAAATTTCACCAATAAATCCTTATCAGTCTTGCTGTGCAGTTTGTATGCCTTAAAGTAGGTTGTTAACTATTTCAATTGAAAAAATAAATTATAGGAAGTGAAATCAATTGTGTTATTATTCTTAGTCTAAACAATTTTTATCAAAATTACTGTACAATACAAGTAAATGTTTCTACTTCGTTTAACACAATCAAAACAGGCAGATGTAAGGGAAGGAGGGACTTTATAGATACAATTAACCTGTTGCAATTTCCACTGGCAGTCATTCTGTACTATGGTTCTGTGAGAAGGAACTTGATGCTTGTGGATCCTCAAACTGATATCCTACATAAATTAAGTAAAAAACAAAGTAATTTTTCAAATAACATTATTATAACATATTTAAGTTTGAAAGTTGATGAGACATATTTGTCATAGATACCTCTGTTTATCACAGAATCATATGCAGAGCTCTGAAGTTAAACAAGTAATCATGTGTAACCATTAACCCTTTCACAACAGGCTTGTGTGTCTTACACAACTTTGGAACCACCATATAAGTAACTCGTAACTATGAAGATATACATATTATAGCTGAAAGTACTTAACTTATGTTTACTAAATTTAGCATGCCTTCAGTAAATATTACAAGTCTTTTTTTTACAAAAAATGTATCCCTAAATATATGGAATCAGAGTGCTGACTGCTCCAAGTGCAAAGTGATTTTCATGTTAAGGTTAAAAATACTTTTCGTCTGAAAAGTTTCAAATTTCTTTTGCATAATCTCTAAAACCTCCTAAATCAATATCAAACTTTTTTTTTACAAAAACTTTATATTTGATATGTTATTTTCTCTACCATAACTCTATACAGGGTTGGTTGATTGGGCCAACTTCATAACCACTATAAAAATTAGGAAATAAATTTAGATTACACTTTTTACATTCTGGAATGACTACAAATTGTAACAGGAAACCACAATTATTTATCCTAAATAGCTTAAAGCTTGTAATAGTATATATCTACTTGTACTTTATTTTATTTCTCTTGGAACCACATTTAACTAGCAATCCCACCACAAAATTGTAAATCACACATCAAATGTGCAGCTCACGTTATGGTACTGAATTATGTAAAACACAAGCTGCTCACAAGAATACTTCATAAAGAGTTTTTATTATTATTTTTCATTATCTTACCTAATCTAACCTAATAAGTCTCTAATTTTTACCTTTCAGTTACTTTTATAATAATGAAAATAAATAATACATATGAAAAACAAGAAATATTTACCTGGATTTTTTTTGTTGTTGTCGACGAAACTAAAGCCTACTTTTTTGTTTTTAAACTAATGGTACTATCACATTAAATAATTGTTTATTTATTTAAATACTTCATTTAAGAACAAAATATAATAACATGCAAAAATCAAAGAATGTCCCATAAGTATCGTAGATTTTCTGGCTTTCTAACTATGAGATAAGAGCTTGAAAATGAACAATGAAATAGAAAATGCCCTGTACAGAAAACATTGTAATATAATACATCATTTAATAGATTAAAAGTTTGGCTTTCTATTGGTTATAAATAATAAATTATATAGAATATCAGATAGAACTACTGGCAATTTGTGAAACAGAGGATGTGACAGGTGGGCAGGGGAAGTGGATACGATTTTCTAGTTTATGGCTCTCGCTCCAGAAACAAATAAGATTGAAGGCTATAAAAATTATGTTTTGCCTGTGTTATATCTATATCATATTGAGTAATTTACATTAAATTTGGTACTTCTCGGAGGGGTGGTGAATAAATTAGAGAAGAGGACAAACTTAGAGAGCATATGTCACAATTCTCATACTGGAGGAGATTGAGGATTTTTTTTAATATCTCCTTATAAAATCTATAACATAAGTCTTATAATATTATAATTTCATTTATTATATATGTTTTGCTTCCAAGTTTACTCATACATATTGACAACGAAGTAGTTTAATTAAATTTTGAATGTAGCTGTAATATGTTGTGGCATGCACACTTTGACCTACCCATTGTGAAAGGGTTAACTAGTTTTTATTTTTGGGCATAATTAGATTTCGTTTTTTAGGCTAAACTAAAAGGTGGTGGCAAGCTAAAGAAACAAAATGCTTTATCAGCATAACAAATAAATTAAACAAAGTTAGTCCAAAACTGACCAACAGAAAATGAAAAAATATACAAAATGTTTTTATTAATATTGCAGTAAAAAATTTAGTACACACTTCAGTCATCCAAAATAAAAAAACTTATTTCCATAATCTCTGACACTCCACAAAAATACTTTAACTTCCAACAACTGCAGAACATAAAAATGTGCACAACATCTGGTTTCAAAGTTATTGCTGCATACACTAACCAATAAGAGAGTTCAAACAGAAAAATTAAACAAGAGAGTAAAAATATTTGCATCTTCTGATTCGAAACCATCAAATTTGATCAAATCAATTCCTTTATAAATGTGAAATAATATGATATTGAAGAATTTTCTAATTTTACCCCAATATGAAAAGTCCATAATTCTTGATATTTCAAGGATCTGTTAGGCAGTAGTCATTACATTTAATGGAGAGCCCATCTTGGAAGAATGAAATTCATTCATGTACCTGCATGTAAAGCACATGCGAAACATAACTTATTGGTTACTACTACCAAACTGGACTACATTTAACAGGATTTTCTTTACAGGTATCATTTTATCAACTATTATAGTTTAACTGACAACTTATAGTCATTATTAAAAGGATACAGGAAAATGCCCTCAAAAGTAGAATTTACATAAAAAAAATGGTGCAACTAAATTCAATCTGAAATGTAAGAATAACAAAGATTCTACATACAGCATGACTTATGTTATCTCCTAACAATGTGGCCACAACTTTCACTTGATCATGTGCAGAGGAGCTGAAAACAAAAAAAGACCACAAAAAGTTTGATATTCTCCACCGTCTTTAAGAAACCAGCTATTACTTTTAGTGAAATGTAAAAACACATTTCTATAACTTTTACAGAGAGTATGTACTAAAACATTTGGTTCTGGATTATAAAAAAAAATATTTAGTGACATCCTTCTTATTCATTAATAACA